AATGTTAAGGTGTATTATGGGAAATGTTAAGGTGTATTAAGGGAAATGTTTAGGTGTATTAAGGGAAATGTTAAGGTGTATTAAGGGAAATGTTAAGGTGTATTAAGGGAAATGTTAAGGTGTATTAAGGGAAATGTTAAGGTGTATTAAGGGAAATGTTAAGGTGTATTAAGGGAAATGTTAAGGTGTATTAAGGGAAATGTTAAGGTGTATTAAGGGAAATGTTAAGGTGTATTAAGGGAAATGTTAAGGTGTATTAAGGGAAATGTTAAGGTGTATTAAGGGAAATGTTAAGGTGTATTAAGGGAAATGTTAAGGTGTATTAAGGGAAATGTTAAGGTGGGTTAAAAGGTGTCAGGGAAATGTTAAGGTGCATTATTTCAATTGACTCCTTTGCTGTAATTTGGGTAGTGACATCTTTTCATTAGTGCAGTTCCTTATATGATGCTATATAAACCGTTCCACACAGTTTATATAAAATGTTAAAATAAAGTGTTCAGCTCAGAAATTATACTAAAACAATTGTTCGCCTCAGGTTCGGTGAATATTGTCGAATAATCCCCTCGACTTCGTCTTGGGGATTATTCGACGATATTCACCTCGCCTTCGGGGAATAATTGTTAATTATAGCAAGAGATGGTCTTGAGTGAGATAAAAATTGATCTGGAGCTGGTTTGACTGGACCCTTTTGTTATACATGTGAATATGGGAACAGGTCATTACAAATTTATTATAGTTTCTGGGTGATTTTTATGTGTAATTCTGAAAGTCTTCTTTGCTACTATAAATAAAGCTTTTATCTCTCATTGTTTTGTGTTACTTAAGATTTATTTGTATCTAGAAACTTCCAAATGGCAGTAGTTTTATTTTAAGCTAAAAAAGTTTCATAAGCGGTATTACAGTGTAATTTGCAAATTAAGATTCCAGTGAAAATTTCAGCCAATAAGAGTTGTATGTTGAACTTCAAAAATCTTGAAGTCACGCAACACTCCTCAATAAGCGTTGTGTGACATCTCAATTGAAACTCAAATTAAAAGAGTACATCGTACTATTTATCCTGCTGTTTCCCTAAACAATGGAAAACCAATCCTCCATTGACCTTCTGGAACAAAAGAAAATTAGGTTTAGCTCGTTGATTGGCTCTCCTTTGACCCTAATGTATCCAAGAAGAGCGTGTTGAACACTTGAATAGTACATGAGGTTGCGTTACGATTTACATACCAAAAACACCGATCTGCAAACGGGATGGCAGTAGCGAGTATCAAGTACTTGATTGCTTGTTGAAGCGGTTTCTGTTTACCAACAAAAAGGCAAGTCGGTAGCAAAGCTTAAACAGTGAAGCTCTGAACAGATAAACAAATGGCAGAAAGTGTCCCTTTGGTGTCTTCGCCGCGTTCATCAGTTGTGAAGCCTTCCGAAGAGGCCGCTCTAGGAACAACAAATTCACAGCCTACCGTTGTACCCTTGGGAGAGAAAGCACCGCTGATCCAGGGTGAACATGAAGTGGGAAAAAGTCTTCTTAGACTTAGTTTATCAAGGATGAATTTGTCGCGGAGTATAATGAGATTGCGTTCCGCCACGATGACTGTGTCGTTAATCGAAAAGCCTTCAGATGATCGCCGAGCCTCTCCGTTCCTTGCAGGTTGGAACGTAACAAATCTCATTCAAGGCACGGGGATTCTAGGAATACCCTATGCTGTGAAGCTCGGAGGGTGGGCTGCTGTTGTTTGTATTTTTCTCTGCGGTATCCTTTGTTGTTACACAGGCAAAATCCTAATCGACTGTCTGTACGAGGATTCTAAGCGGACAGGTCGAAGGAAACGAGTTAGGGTGAATTACCCAGATGTTGGCGAAGCCTGCTGGCCCATATGGGGAAACAGGATTGTTAGCATTGTTCAAGTGATCGAAATGTCTGGCATAGGCGTCACCTATGTTGTCTTGATGGCCACTATCTTCCTTGATCTATTCCACAACAAGAGTATGGATGTCTATGACTGGACTGTTGTCGTGGGTTGCATCGTCCTTCCAGCCATCTTTATCACCCGAGTGTCACTCATCGCCTGGTTCAGCATGATTTCTGTCTTTTCTTTGTTCTCTGGTGTCTTCACCATTATAATCTACTGCATCACGCAGTATCAGAAGATGAGCTTCAGTAACATGCCAGGTTTCCATCTGAACTCTTTTTTGGTTGGCTTGGGTATCATTGTGTTCAGCTTTACAGCGCATGCAGTATTCCCAGGAGTAGAGGGAAGCATGCGTCATCCTGAACAGTACCCCATGATGCTGAATTTCGCCTTCGCAAACTCAATAATCACTAAACTTGCTCTAGGCCTACTGGGTGTTTTTCGATACGGACAGGAACTTAACCAGACAATAACAGTCAATATCAAAACCAGTCCAGTCTTTTACATTCTGTCCAATACCTTTGTTATCGGTAACGTCGTGCTTGCCTTTCCCCTCGTCATGTTTGTTGTTTTAGAGACATGGGATAAAAAAATGCTCCCTTACTTTCCTCACCTTTCTAAGGATTCAAGTTTTCACTGGTTTTGGCTGATCCTGACACGCCCATTGCTTCTTACCTTTGGTGTCTTCCTGGCCATAACTGTGCCTCATTTTGGCTTAGTTATGGGTCTCCTTGGCAGCTTAACAGGAACCAGTCTGTGTTTCATTTTCCCATGCGTTTTTCATCTAAAGCTCAAGTGGAAGAAGTTAAACTGGTTGCAGGTTGCATGTAGAGTTGGTGTCACCATCTTTGGAATTGCTGTTGGAATCCTTGGAGTAGTATTCTCAGCAATTGAACTAATCAAGGCGTCTAAATGAGAAAATAAATCCTAGAATAAGAGATATTTCTTACTTTAAATGAACGGAGAACTGAGACCTGCCATGTCAAATACATGTAATATAAATGATAATAACTATAGATAATATTGATGCTTTTGGTGCATTTTTTTTTTTTTTTATATGCAGTATTCTGTAAATATCATAACCTAAATTTTTATTTAATGCAGGGTTCCTTAGAATATAAAACCCAAGAAGGTCATTTGGAACTTGAAGGGGAAAGGGGAGGGAGACTGGGTGAAAGGTAAGAGCAACCATGGTTGTGAACATTCACTCCCTTTCTGAAAAAAAGAGAAAAAAAATTCAGTGAGCTTGGAAACATCAAGAGCAAAAATTTAATCTTAGAATTGACTTTAAAGAAATATCTTGAGGAAGACCAGCTCAATTTTTTTAGCAAATATAAATATATAAAAGGAAAGTTATTTGAAGTCAGTGGCAAGTGACAGTGTTTAACAGTGATTTCTTATCCCAGACTGCACAAATTTTTCATGACCAAAGAAACAAAAACAAATCAGTTTTTGGGTTATTTTTTGCACTCTCACTTGACATTATGCTAAGTAATGTTACCATGATGTCTAGTAGCATGTGTTTGAAATAAACTCTGGTCATTCCGAATTATATTACTGATATTGGTGTGAAGTTTTTTCACAAGGTCTTGACACTTGAGATAATTTTTTTTAATTCTGTTGAGGTGCCCCTATTTTTCTTAGCAGAGTACTTCTTGCAAAAAAATGTTCCTTTTTGGATTTAAACAAAAGAAAAGCAATGGTCATGGGTCAGAAGAATTCATCATAAGATTGGTAAGATCAATCTGGATGGCCAAGAATTTTTTGACAAATAACTGTATTTAAATGAAAAATCTTTCTTAAGCTTAAATTTGGATTTTGCTTGAAATTGTATTGTCCAGTCTCTCAGGGAGGTGGATTGTAATCTGAAAAGTCTAGAAAGCTGCAAGTGAATTTCAGTTTTATTTAATAAATATCTCTGTTTAGGGATTTTTGATGGTCGTTACTTACTAGACACTTTACAGACTATTTAATTGTAGTAATCAAAATATTAAATTTTACAGTTTTATTGGTGAATTTAGCAGTTTCCATGGTGTTGTACTTAATTATGAGAAAGGAAGGTTTCATGAAACTAACACGAATTTTTGTGGGCCTAACTAAAAATGGGGAATGGAGAAAGGGGACAATTAACTTGGGAAATTGAAAAAAAGGAAATTTAATTGTTTAGATTAATTGTTTATATTGCGGAACAGACATTTTTCAATGGTAATTATCGATATCTTTGCGTACTTTTTGGACATTTTGCGGCAAAATAAAAGGAACAGAAAAAATTGATAGTAACGAAAAAAATTACACCAACTTGTCTTGACATTTCTGACGCTGAGCAATTAATGAAAAAAAAACTTCTTAGATATTCAGAAGTTCAGGAGTTGGTCGCATCGCGGATTAGCAATATAGTAATATTCATTTAAGTTCCTCTGACAGTCATTTAAGTTGCGCGAAATTTCGTTACTTTTAATTTGCGTGACACTGATCAAGTTAACTTTAAATTTCCGTGCCCTTAATTTCAATCATTCTTCTCCCGAACTATTTATTTTACTCCAGACGTCGTTGACAACAAGGTGACAATACCGAAAAATAATTCTTTCATTAGGCTGGAGATCTGACGGTATCGTAGACACTGCAAATAATGCTCAAAGTGGCACGATTCCTTCCCCAAACCCTAACGTTAAGGGAATATTCAAACACTGTTTACATGGGGTTTTTTTTCTCACTCGCAAAGTCGAACCAATTTTCCTCTTCTCCTAGAAAATTCTCTTCCTTAATATACATTTGACGAAAATTTCCAGAGAATCGTTTTAGCGTTTTTTTCCTTTTAATCATTGGTCTTTGATCCTAAATTCGCGTTAATGTCCTCCATCCTTTTTCCGACGAAGTGTGCGCGGGAGATTTGCAATCTAAGTTCCTAAAGGAGTCCCATCTAAGCGTGACCTAAGTTCCATTAGGCCTCTTAGACAGTTGACAAGTATTTTCCCAGTAACCCAACAAGAAATACAGGGCTGTATGATGCACGATCCTCGCAGTAGAGAGCGCTCTTTATGCAATCAGACCTGAAAAAAATCAGGCCTGTACGGGATTCGAACCACTGATCTCTGTGATACTAGTGCAGCGCTCTACCAATTGAGCTAACAAGCCAACTGGGAGCAGGCCGTTAAGTTGATTCGTAATAAACCCGTGATGATAAATCAGGTACAATGAATATATGAAGTTCATATATACTTTGAACTGCGGTTGTAGATATGTATGATGCAGAGCTGTATAGTCCAAAACACCCAAAGTCAGACCAGAATAAATCCTTTGCACCTTGCGGCGAGACAGTGTACGACACCCAGCCTTTTATTTGAGTCCCAAGAACTATCAAATACAAATAGATTGAAAACAGGTGATATTTTCTCCGTCAAATGTAGATCTCTGACCCCTTACTGCCATGATAATGAACGCGATATTGAGAAAACAACTCCCAGAGAAACTGTGGGGATCAGATCAGTAAATCTTATGCACTCTTTTGTGAAGCGTGTTAGCAATCTCTTCATTTTCGAGTGAAACGTGATATGAAATTCTGTCTCCGTTATTTAAGAAATTTTCTAGCCTGAGCCAGAGAAAGAGTTCGATTCAACGTGATCCGTGAATCATCTTGTTAGACTAGAGTAAATTTTTGCTCAATATTTATCAAATTTTAACGATTCATTGGGTTTTTGGAAAATGAGAGAAGGTTTAAAGGTTTTTAAAGAAGATAGATCACCGTTAAAACTAGTTGGCAAAAACCCAAGTGTATCCGTTCTGGGTTTAAAAAATGCGGAAATGGGTGAAACGTGATCGGAGTTATTTTCGCCAAACGTGGAAGAATTTTACTTCCAGTTTTGTTTTGTGACTCAATATTTACCCTCTGAAAGTCGTGTACTTCCCACATCCTACTTTGCTTCCGCTACATCTTGAGAGTTCTTTATGACAAAATAACTCGAATTTGAAGTGTAAGGTCGAAGTCGCTTCCAAATGCTGAAAAAAATAGAAGCGTTATCACTGCCAAAATGACCCATTTATCGCTTCTTCAAAAATGGAAAAGTGAAGAAATGTCCTCAGGAAATTAATTGAAGGAGGGCCGAAGGGAGCAAAAATTTTGAAATGCGAAACCCCACACGTCACTCGGCGAAAGGCCAGAGTACATTACGAGGAAAACTCAAACTACAAATCCCCGCCGGTAGCTGATAATAAATGAGCTTTAAACAAAGAAGGGATATGGAAAAATGAATTTTCCCGCATGGAGGGTGAACATTTCAACCATGGAAATTAATTTGATTTGTTAGCCTTAGTAGACATAGAAGGCAAGCGCATTTTAAATTACTGTGGGAATAGGCCATTATACGTCTTTAAATTGAAAAGAACATATAAAGACTCAAATCAAACCGATTTAAAAAATTACAATGACAGACATCCACTTTGTGGTCGATCTAAATTCCCAAGGGGTACAAACAATTGTTTTTTTACGTGACGTAACAAGAAATGGTAACGCAACACTGCCACGTGGTAAACGTAGAAATCTATTTGTGTCTGGCCAGTCCTGGCGTGTGAACTGTTTTCAATTGGACGTGCCAACGTTGCGCTAAAACAGATTTTGCCAAGAGAGCTTTGCTGAGTCTTTACAAAACGGGTGACTGAACAGAGAAAACAGCAAAAGAAGGCCGAAACACGATCACCGCATAAAAATGGCCTCTAAAGCGTTCTCGATCCAAGCAGAAGGCATCGCTATGACGGAACAAGATCCCACAGCACCCCAACCAACGGTTGTGCGTTTCGACGAACGTTCGGGTCTGTTATCCCGTTCAAACGACCAGAAATCCCCTATGTCTTCAAGCAGGGTTGGAGCTGGTTCTCTGCGAGCTGGCTTTTCTCAGAGCGTTAAAAATCTGAAATCAGCCACCCTGACTGTTTCGTTGTTGGAGAAACCGTCCGATGACAGACGTGCCTCCGCGTTCCTCGCCGGCTGGAACGTAACGAACCTCATTCAAGGCACAGGTATCCTTGGGGTTCCCTATGCAGTGCGTATGGGAGGATGGGCGGCTGTAGCTGCTAACGCCAAAATCGCCTTTCTATGTTGCTACACTGGTAAACTGTTGATAGAGTGCTTGTATGAGAGATCCAAGACAACGCAGATGGTGAAACGGGTCCGAGTTAACTACCCGGATGTCGGGGAAGCCGTATGGCCCGGTTGGGGGAATCGGATCGTTAGCGTGGTGCAGTTCTGCGAGATGTTTGGAGGGGTGATTTCTTACCTTGTTCTACTGGGTACCATATTTAGCGACATCTTGAGCAAGTCTAGAACCTTGAATTTTGATATCTACACTTGGTCTTCCATCTGTGCCTGCATTGCACTCCCTGGCTTCTTCCTTCGCCGTGTGTCAGTCATTCCTTGGATCAGCATGATATCTGTCTTTGCACTGATGTCATCAATCATCACAATCATCATATACTCCATAACACAGTACAAGGAAATGTCTATTGACAAGGTTCCTAGATTTAATATCACTAAATTCCCTATCGGGTTTGGAGTCATTGTTTTCAGTTATACAGCCCATGCGGTATTCCCAGGGGTGGAGGGAAGCATGCGACGTCCTGAGCAGTACCCCATGATGATGAATGTTGCATTTCTACTGGCTGTTATTGTCAAAGTGGCATTTGGCCTTCTTCCTGTGCTGCGATTTGGAGAGGACACGAACCAAGCTATTACTATCAACCTGAAGACCAATGGGTTTTTCTATGTTCTGGCTAATGCTTTGGTTGTGACGAATGTGTTCACAGCTTTCCCTATTGTAAGCTACATAGTGTTGGAAACTGTTGATAACAAACTCCTACCATACTTCCCACACCTGCAGCGAGAGACAAAGTATCACTGGCTATGGATCTTAATATCTCGTCCACTTGTCTTAACCTTTGGCCTCCTTATGGCCATCATCATACCCCATTTTGGCTTATTCATGGGTTTTGTTGGAAGTTTTACGGGTACATGTCTCTGTTTTATATTCCCCTGTATTTTCCACATGGTTCTGAAGTGGAAAGAGCTGAGATGGTACAACATCATAGCCAGGGTTTATGTGATAGTTTTTGGCTTAGTCTGTGGGGTCTTTGGCATTGTTTTCACTGGCAGAGAGCTCAGAAATGCTGTTAGTGGAATATGAGTCACCTTGATCTCATGTTTAGACGTGTCAATCCTACAGTCTTTCTGATATTGCGCAAAAAGAAAAAAACTGTGCAGGCTTTGAGAAGGCCAAATTATACAAAAGAAACCTTAATTATGGAGCAAATGAACAGATTTTGTCACTGAAGGTTGTAATAGACATGGGTTGTAAAAGGACTACCGATGACAAAATAGTTAGAATTCGTATTGTTTGGTACAACAAACCCAATGAGTAAATTCTTTACAGATTACAGTGACAGTAGACTACCCATAATCAACCGTGAGGGAAACCTTGTAGGTAGACTTGATATGATCACTATAAGAATAACAAAACATGAAAGTTTCAGAGGCTCTGCATTATATTTCCAAATCAAAACAGATGTTAACTGGCTTCTTAGTGAGTACATTTTTCCAGACCTTGCATTATTTGGTGAATTTTGAGATTTCTCATGTATTTTGCATTCAACATGGTTTGAGATCCAGATTACATCTTTTTATAATGTCCAAGGCCTATAGCTAGAATTGTTTCTGTGCTATTTTGTAATCAATTAATAAATCCAGTGTATTTACTTGAATACCTTGGACAAGAAGTGCAAGTAATGCTCAATTTTCTTTTCTTTTTGTGAAACATGATTGAATCATCAATATATTTTCAATTTATAATCATTTCTGCATAATAGATTTTTGCGCAGAGGTAAAAGAATGCAAGAAATCATGCAAGAAAGGACATGATTTTCATGTCAATGGTAAATTTAAGGTTTAGGGGAACTCTTGAAAAATTAATTAGCAATTGTTGCAGAAGGGGATTCACCCTTGAAAAAATTCACAGTTTTGTATAATTCTCTCTTCCAAACTGTTATGGTCATTTGTTCACAATATTTGGGTTGAGGTCTTTGACTTAGTATCTTATTTTTGTCAAACTGTTAGTTAAGACTTGATCATGTAACCATTTCTGTTTTGAGGAAATTGATGATAAGCCAACACAAAAATGTTCTCCAGTGTTTTAAGTTGATGATTTGACTCAAATTGGAGAAAATTGATTTGTTAACCCATTAACTCTCATGAGTGACCAAGACAGAATTTCTCCTTACAATATCAATACAATATTAAGCAGGCAAGTGATGAGAATAAGGAAAAATATCAATAAGGGATTACTAGTTGATCCAATACCAAATTCTCCAAACTAACATTACAAGAGTTGTATGGCAGACAGTAAGGAGAATTTCTAAATAAATCTTGGGAGTGAAAGGGTTTGCAGTAATACTAATCATACTGCATTTGCTGTTTGATCATTCTCTTTGTGAAGTCAATTTTCAATTAATATTGTGTCTCATAAGTGAATGCAAGGTGTCTAAATTCAGTGTGGAAGGAATTGCAGTACAACTAATATTTAAATTATCCATCATAAGTTACTACTTGGTATATATGAAAGTTGGAGGGCAAACAACAGAGTTTATCAATTTACTTCTTGTGTGAGGTGCACATAAAATTCTGATGTTACTGATCATCATGCAAAATAAACTGTTTGTGATGTTTGACAATAGTTGTTTTGAGATATGCAAATTTAGCGTTTGATAAAGATTGTATGTATGCAATATACAGAAGTTTACTTTCGATGAATAGTGTCAACCCAATAAAGCAGTATGTTCTAGATCCACATTGAAACTTGTCTTATAAGTAGAGATTATATTATGTGATGTCAGATAACGTTTCTGCGTTGGGTTTTCCGCCCTGTTACCGACAAGTCAAAAAATTTGGCGGTCATGCATTTAGCACCCTTCGAACAATTTTTTTTTAGTAGGAGGATCGATCGGTAAAAAATTCTCTTTTCCTCCTATTATTTAACCTTACCTTTAGGGGAGCGTCGACTGTGTCAAAGAAAGAATTATGAGGTGTTGTTAACCTCACTCCAGACCACAAAATTTTTTCGTGCGGTTCGACTGTCACCAAACAATGAAGCGTGAGCCATCATTGTTCGGAAATTTTATACATTTTTTGAAAGGACGACAAGGAAAGGAAAGAGAAATTATCCTGTGTTTGTTACATACCTCATAAATCACTCCAAAACACCTGGCTTTGAGTGCTTTTTCCTTCCTTTTCTCGGAAAACCGCAGGAACTTGTCTAGCGAAAATTTCCGCCCTTTTGAAATTTCTTTGACAGTTGGAACCCCTTCCCGCCCCTCCCTACCTAGCACTAACCCCACCCTACCCAATAAAATTCCTCAGGGTCGAAGGAGCGACCCCTTGGTAAAATGTCACAGTTACTTTGGGAGACACAGCGGGAATACGTTTTTTAGGGCACGGTACAGTATTTTACTGGTCAGCGGACACCTCAACAAAACCATGAAATGTCGATAACTTTTTCAATGTTTTTCGCCGTGAGTCAAATCGACAGCGTAAAAAGTCAAAACTTAGAAAGAATACTGTAAACTTGGCTTTTAAACTCGACTCACCTTTCGGATAGTTCTTAAGCTCAATTATATAATTTGCCAAAGCCGAACTGAAGTTGAACACGATATGAAATTGTTGTTTTTCGCTGGCGGCCCCGTGGCAACTAAGTTTTGTTTATAAGAGCTTATGCACCAAGGCTAAAAATGAGACGATTTTTGAATGGTTGAAGCGGTGATCCGAGGACGCTGCACTATCAGGTTTGTAAAGCAGTGGCTTGAACCGTATAAGTCGGCATGTCAACGGCATTTCGGTCAGATTCGCCGAAAAGAAGACAAAACATGCCCGTGTAGCACGGCCACCCTATCCCCACTAGTTACTGTATGTATCATAGTTGGCCAAAAAACCTACGACTGTAACATGCATAGGACTGAAGCCCCCAAAAGTACAAAGACTGGCTCAACTAGAGGAAGAATAAACCGAGGTATGCTTTAAGTACAAAATGTCCATTATAATGATAATAAAGAAGTTTTCACTTTCCATCTTAGTTTGTAATTTTTTTTTCTGACAAGCTGTAATTTTATTTCTGAGCAATAGTTTTTACTTTCCCAACAAGTATTT